AACTTTGATGTGTTTACTTTTTATGGATATTGTAACACCCCGAATTTTCTACTAATACAATGTTGAATATTATTATTTTTATATAGTTATTTTTGTTAATTAAAGGGGTTTTATAGAAGTTTGTATTAATTTAAAATTATTTATGAAAATTTTATACAAAGTTAATTCTGATTTTTTTTAGGCCCAGAACGGCCTGTTCCGAAAAGCGGAACGGATTGTTTCCAAAAAACGGAACGGGCTGTTTCAAAAAGTGGAACGGGCCGTTCCAAAGGATGAAAGTGAACTATTTTGAAGGACTAGAACGGGCCGTTTCAAATGGTGGAATGGGCCGTTCCAAATTTGTAAAAACGTTTAATTGGGTTTTTCCAGAACGGGCCGTTCCCAAAGTGAAACGGGCCGTTCCAGAGTAATAAAAATGCCTAGAAAGTTAAGGTAGAAACGGGCCGTTCTGCTTATGGTCAATCAAGGTTAACACAAACCCGGTGTGATTCGAAGCTAGTATTATAAAAAGCAATTTTTTTTTCATTACTATTCCCTGAATATTTTGAGCAGAAGTTAAATACTTGAACTTTTTTTTTTCTTCATAATTTGAGTTGTTTTGTATTTATAAGAATCAGGACATCAAGAATTATTCGATTACACTAAGGATGCTTTTGATATATACCAAGACATGATACAATGATAATAATATATTAACGGTATGTATGATTGTAAATAATTTTCTCCCTTAAACATATCATCAAAATTTTCATCTTTAAATTTGTGTATAATTTTTTTTATACAATGAGAGATTAAATGTTCAAACTAAAAACCTTCAAACAACTAAAACATTATCAATCAAAAGAATTTGAATCCACAAAGAAAATTTTTGAAAAACATGCACACCTATTAACATAGAACAATCTTGCTTAGTTACTATTTGATAAACATTACAATAAGTCACTTCATGATCTTTCCCAATTATATTCACGGCTTTATTAACCAAAGAATGGCATTAATAGATCTAAATAAATACTATTTGTGTAAATACAATATGTCCTAAAAACTTATTTTCCTTCAACAAATTTTGTGATCAAATTTATGGAATAAATTCTCCTATTGTAGTACGTCACTGAATAAATACTTAACCTATATATGGTTAAACATGATTGGATTACAATCGCACTAGTTTGAAGGACAATCTTGAATGAAAATTTAGCATCATGAATAATAAAGAAAAAATAAATAAATATATTTTTAGTCTATTTTAAATATAAAATCAACTTTCTTAGATCTTGAAATTTGAAAATTTTTATTTTAATCTTGTTATTCAAATGTTGTTGGTGAATCTATAAAAAAAAATCACTCATTATTGAATATATCGTATAAAATCTCCTTAATAGTAATCTTATTAATAAAAAGTTACATTAAATCTAATTAGTATTTTATGATTAATTCAATTCGTAATTCTTAGTAAAGTTATTGATTTTCCTCACTCAGGATTTAAAGTCTTTTTCAAATTACAGAAATAAAAAAAAAAAAAATTTAAATTTAAGAGGAAAAAACAAATTTATTGCGAGGAACAAAATTATGTTTAAGAAAATAAATATAGTGATAGTGATAAATAGCAGTAGAAGTTGACAGTTACTAACTAGTAGTATCTGCCTTCTGAATTCAAAGCAGAAAGGCACCAAAGAGAAAAATTTGCATACAGAACCTGCGCCAAGCTTCAACTCCATGCGTGCAAACACAGCACTTCTTTTCTTTTCTTTTCTCTCTCTAAATCCTCTTCGATTCTCTCTCTCCAATCCACCCCTTACTTAATATTCTCCTCTTCACCAGATTCCCTCCTCGCCCACCCCACAACCCTTCATTGCTTTCCAAGCCAAGAATCTCTCAGATTCCTCTCTTCCCCTCTTTTTCAACCACTATTAACTCTTCTCCAATGCCCCTTCTCTCTGTCATTTTCATTCCTCTCCTTCTCTCTCACTCTCACAACATTGCCTTTTCATTGTCATGGCTCCTTCTTCAGATGTTAATCATCTTTCTCATCCTTGCATATACGGTATCATTATTTTCTCTCTCTGTTCTAGTCATTAAAATTTGAGCTTCACGTATACCCCTATTTAAAGGCGTTTCATTTAGTTTTTTCTGATGATTATACCGAATGGGTATTCTCAAAGTTTCGAAATTTAATTTGTGTGTTTCCACAGAAGTTATGTATTTGAGTTTGAGCTTCTAGAGGTTTTAATCTAACTAGTTAAATCGTGAAAATTTTGGTGGCGAACAGGGGATTATATTTCTCCACGCTCAGAGAGAAAGTCTGGTTTCATGAAATGGCTTTCTAAGCTTTTCAGAGGTGGGTCCAATAGAGGAAGGGGTGGTCGTCATCTGCATGAGCCAGCAGAGGAAAGCATGGTCTGGGGTGCTCCATCTAGAGCGTTGGTAAGTTGAAGCACTGAATTTTAGTTTTCTTCAATCATGTCTACTGTTATTGGCCTTGTTATAGATATTATTATTATTATTATTATTATGAATTTAATTAGAGTAAAACTTGTGTTAAATAGCATATTATCATGTATGACAAGTGTGTTGATTGATAGAAAATGTAAAAAAAAAAAAAATCACATTTAAACTCTATTTTATTGCTTTGCTTAAATTAAAAAATGCAATTAGATACTCAATTTTTATCTGTAATGCAATTAAAAAATGTAATAATTAGGATGACCGTGGTAGAGCTCAGAAGGAGAAAGAGGATCTGGGCCATGCAATGGCACTTTCTTCAGCTGAAGATTTAAAGAGACCAAATGGTTGGTACTTGAATTTCAAAAAGGTGCTTCTTACTTGTTATATATCTTGATCTTTCTGATCAAAGATTAAACTTTTGTTTCCATTAGCCCATCAAGGATATGGTTGGGGAGAAGACACTGGTGATGATTATTCAAAGGCACTTCAGGATACCCTTAACTCCTCTGCACACCCTCCATATGTAGCCCCTACACCATTTTATCCCCACGAATATAGGTAAAATCTCTCCAAAATCTTGTATTCAATAGGTAAATGCCAAACAACAAGTGTTTTCAATTTGGTCCACGGTGAGGTGGTTGAGGTTTCTTATATATGAGTAATTTAATAAATGAGATTATCATAATAATTAACTTATATATTACCTTAAAATTAACTTATGATAGCCAATCACTTTTTTTCCTCATGCTCAGAAGTCGAGATATTTTGACATTATGTGTACATAAATATCTCTCTATATTATGTAATTAATTGCATTATTGTTGTTCACTAAATACTTTCAAGTAATCAAGTTTACTTCACATCAATGGATGAATAATTGATGGTCTGCAGCATCATTTCTGACTTAATTCAATGAATCAAGTTGCAAAAGGAATCTGAATCTGTTTCTTCTAAAATCTTAGAAAGGGAAAAAGAAACTTGCAGCATGTGCTTGAAAAGAAACTTGCAGCATGTGCTTGGGGGGTAGAGTTCTATGTAAATGTCTAAGCAAAAGGAAAAGCAGGATATTTTGGTAGCATTTACAATTAATAATGTGTATTTTGCCATTAAACAGAAGAATATGTGGTGGCTGCAACCAAGAGATAATCTATGGAAATTGTTTGGGCTGCATGGATACTTATTTTCATCCAAATTGCTTTCGCTGCCACTCTTGTCGTTACCCCATTACAGAGCGTGAGGTAGTTTGATCCTCTTTGATGTTTTTAGCGGATGTTGAGATCATAATTGTTCTTTTTGATCCATCTCTTACTGTTTTCTTTTTTCTGTTGATCCAAGTTTTCATTGTCAGGGAAGCATCCATATCACAAGTCCTGTTTTAAAGAGTTGACTCACCCAAAATGTGAAGTTTGCTTCCAATTTGTAAGATTAGTTTTGCCTCTCCTTATTCAAACTGTTCTTTGTCACTACTTGTTAGTTTTCTTTGTTAATATTATTAAATTTCAGTTTGTTATATACTTTAAATAGGACTAAGGCATTAGATTGTTAATGATGGAGGAACCAAATAATAATATAGTTTTATAATATAACAGGACACTTGATAATAAGGAGCTATCCTATTAAAAGTAATGAAATTTTCATTTTAATTTCAGATTCCTATAAATTCTGCTGGTTTGATTGAGTATAGGTGCCACCCATTTTGGTCCCAAAAGTATTGTCCATCTCATGAATATGATAACACAGCTCGTTGCTGTAGTTGTGAAAGACTGGAGGTACTGATTTATGCACTCTAGTTAAGACTGTTTAATAATTCCTATTTTCAGAACAGATAAAGAATTTCTTTTATTTTCTACTGTTATATTTCCTTTGAAGCCACGGAACATAAAATACTATAGACTAGAAGATGGACGGAGTTTGTGTTTAGAGTGCATGGAATCTGCTATAACAGATACTGGTGATTGCCAGCCCCTTTACCATTCCATCAGAGATTACTATGAAGGAATGCAGATGAGAATAGATCAGCAAATTCCCATGCTTCTCGTTGAAAGAGAAGCACTTAATGAAGCTATTGAAGGGGAAAAGAATGTATGGAAAACTCCCTTCTTTATTTTAGTGAAATAATAATCCGTCCAACTTTTTCTCACTCTTAGTTGTTTCTGCCAGGGTTTTCACCACTTACCAGAAACAAGGGGTTTATGTCTTTCAGAAGAGCAGACTGTCACCAGTGTATGATATTAAAAATATTCAGTTTTTTGTTTGTTTAGAATGTTGAAACACATCGTGAATGAAATTGCTATTATTTGTCAGATAAATTCACTACTGTATGATTATGTTGTTTCAGATACATAGAAGGCCAAGAATTGGAGGCCATCGACTAATAGGGATGAGAACTCAACATCAAAAATTGATTAGAAAATGTGAAGTTACAGCAATTCTTGTTCTATACGGTCTTCCTAGGTAACTAGTGGACAATGGAAGCTTAATGCTTTTTTGTCACTTTTGAATATAATTGAGTTTAGATATTTTTCAATTACTCGCTAGATACAGTACCAAGGACAAACTTCAAACTTCATTATTGAACCTGATGCAGGTTGCTCACAGGTGCTATACTAGCCCACGAGTTGATGCATGCATGGCTGCGCCTTAAAGGTATATTTTCATCATAAAAAATATTAGTGATACTCACGTTAGCACTCTATTATCAGTTGAAAATCACAAAATTTAAGAAATCTTACTGCTAAATCATGAGAGACTCGTTAAGTAAGACACGGGACCTACAAAATTCTTGATTTCTATTAAGTATCAACCAATGATAGGAGAATGTTAGAAAGAGTGTTAAAAAGAGTTTCACCATCATTCCTCTTTTGATCATTACGGTATTCAACTTCTTTGTATCTATGACATTTCATCTCCTTCAATGATGCTGAACTAAGCAGGTTACCGCAACCTTAACCCCGAAGTAGAGGAAGGCATTTGTCAGGTTCTTTCCTACATGTGGCTTGAGTCAGAAGTAATGCCTAGCTTTCAAGGCATGCCATCAACATCCACCGCTTCTTCCTCCTCCTCCTCTTCCTCAAAGAAGGGTGCAAAGTCTCATGTTGAAAATAAATTGGGTGAATTTTTCAAAAATCAGATTGCCAATGATTCTTCCCCAGCTTATGGTGGTGGCTTTAGAGCTGCTAATGAAGCTGTTAATAAATATGGTTTGCGTTGTACACTTGACCATATTCAATTGACTGGTTTTTTCCCTGTGTAATAAGAACGCAAGTTCTCTAAGTATGGATAGAAGTGCTTTTCATTTTCTTTGGTTCTACAAGTGGATGGACAAGGATCGATTCAAAGTAAAGATAGAAGCTTGGACAACTTCTACTATTTGGGTCCTATGACTATGAGGATGTCCAAGTCTAAGTTTACTAAACAAAAATAAATGCATGATTGTTCGTATTCAACAACTATTTATTTCCCTTGACCAAAATAGAAAAAAAGAACTGTTATTTCTCGATGCAATTTACCTGTGTTATTTACAAATGAAGTTGACAATGAATGCCAAGCAACATTGATTTGACTAATATTCTAAAGAAAGCATCCCTCTCTACCTATTAAATTTTCACCTCTTTAATAATTAAGAGTGACTTCGTATATCAGCCTAACATTTTGAAAACAAATTTACAAAATATATCCTCTGGAAAATGACAACTTCAATAAATCTCAGAATAATCCTATAACTAGAGTCGTTCACTAAAGATAAAACAATGGACTCCAATTCATCATCTTAACTTAAAATAAATAAATAAAAGGAACTTAAGCTTTCATGTAACAGGAAGAATTGTAATCCCAATCAGGATAATGTTGTTTACTAATGTGAAGGAATGTTAATAAGATTGTTGTTTACTAATGTGAAAGAATGTTAATAGGATTGTTACTCTAAACCCTCACGGGTAAGTTTGTTTTTAATAGTTTTGATAATGTGCGTGAATGCAGGTGGAATGCCGTTTAACTTAGCATAAACTTATTTAGTTCTTGTTTTGCAATGATTGGTTGGTAGGTCCCCCCCTCATTCACAAATCTGTTAATATGATGTGTTGTAGCAGTTGCGTGGGTCAGTTTGAATTTGTTGAGTTATTGAGGCAGAGTTATGGGGAGTTTTTCAAGTTGTCAGCTTGCATGGAAAAGAGGATATCAGTGCATTAATGTTTAGAGTTCATTATTTTCAGGGGAGTCTCAACTCTCAAGTGGATATATGTTGTATGAAGATAATGGATTGGCGGATAGTTTAGCCAAACATTATATTTGGGTAAATTTGGTTGCTTTGTGTATCTGGCTAAAAACACCACAAAATCACAAAGATGGTGTTATATGGTAAAGCCTCAGTCAGCCAGAATTCACATCAAACGTAAATTTGTTCAGACGGTAATTCCAATTCAAATCTAATCCTCATAGGCTTCATCAACACCATCCCCTCTAACTTCCCAAAACACACATAAAAATAAAAAGACATGAAATGTTCAAATAAAACAACAGAAATGTAATCGCATAAATCGGCTCCGCAGATCATAAGGTATGAGACCCGCAGGTTCCTATCAGGATGCGAAACGAATTAAATTCACTCTTGTTTTTGGTCCAATCATAGCATCGCTGGTCAATGCTCATTTGTAGCTACCAGCGACGTGGCATTGGACCTAATCACCCCCAAAAAAAAAAGAGAAATTAAAATAAAAAATTGAGCACATATAAGATGGCAAAAACCCTCAGCGACCCGTTTCAAATCACACACACACAGAACCACAAAGAAGGATCTCGACCAATGACATTGGTGGATGAGAAGATTCTTTGGATTGGCGCTGCGTTTAGAGTGTCATACGGCACTTCCTATCAATTTTGGGAGATCTTCCTCATAGGGTATTTTTCTCTTTTCCATCGTCTATGTGCATATTTAAATTAGTAATTAAAATTGAAATGGAATCAAAATAACGATGAACAAAATCGAAACACATACAATACAGCCACTCTAACACGATGAAGGAGTGAGAGAGTAGTGTTTTGGAGGTGAAATTTATAGGCATTTTATTTATCGTGGGCCGCTAGGGTTAGGTTAGGGTTTTGGTGCTGCACTGAATGTGGATTTTATTGGGTTATCGGTTCTTCTAATGACCCGAGAAGGCCCAGATAAGACGGAGCATTCAGATTTTGGGCCTTAACCAAAACAAATAAGAGAAGGCTTATACATATACACCTCCTTTTTTTTTTTATAAGTACACCTCCTTCTTTTAAAATAAATTAAATATTATAATGTTTTTAAAAAATTTTAATTTTATACTTTCAACTTTCAATTTGTTATTTTCTTCTTCTTATTCACACACTTTTTTTTTCTCTTTCAATTTTCAAATGTTACCAAAATAAGTGGGGTGAAAGAAAAATAAGGGAGTACATGTAAAATTTGAAAAAATAAAGAAAGTTATGTAACAAAAAAGTACTAAATTAAATATTGTGAATGTAAAATTTAAAACAAAAAATTAAAAATATTTTAATTTTTTTTTAAAAGGAGGTGTACTTATAGAAAAAAGGAGGTGTATATATCATTATCGCGCTTACATATTACTTGTCTTGTGGATTCCGAGCTTCGAAAGAAAAAATTATCTGCAAAAAAATAAATATAAAACTCGAAGGACTTAAATACGCCAAAAAAATTCTGTAAGAAATTTTGCACAAATAAATAATAGTGACGTGTATAATTTTATCACAATTTATCATGGGATTAAAGATTCCTTTCACATAGTTAATACTACAAAAAAACTATATAAATTCAAAAATATTTGATATCTTATTTAGTGACGGATCCAGAAATTTTAGATAGTGGAGGCAATATTTATTCATATATTTGTAATATTAAAAATTTTATATATAATTTTTAAAAGTATAAATATATATTATAATTATTTTTTTATAAGTTTTTATATCTATAATCATGATTAAGGATGGAAATAAATTAGGTCAGACTATGTTATATTATAATTTAATATATTTGAGCCTAACTTTCTTTAAAAATACATGTTCTAAATATGACATATTTATCTGCATAAACATTTTTTAAATATTTAGTTAAAACTACAATCTTAAATACCTACTTTATAATAATTTAAAACTAATAAAAATATAAAAATAAATATGATAAATTTTATAAAAATCAAGTTTAATTTACTTATGATATAAACATGTTTTTAATATATGATATAAATTTTTAGATGATAATTTATTTTAAAACATATTTTATAATAAAAATTATAAATAGATCTTCTAATCTTTCCTATTTTGATTTTTTAAATCAACATATACAATCTTACAATTTTTACTATTTTGATTTTTTTATCAACATATACAATAAATAGAAAGCACAAAAGGTAAACATGCATGTTGTAAATTTTATTTTATCAAAAAATAATATATTATATTATACATGTGAGCATTAATATATATACATATATATATATATATATATAATAATTAAACTTTAAAAAAAATTATATTTCCTCAAAATTTATATTTTATACAAACTATGATATAAACATGTATATTTATTTTATTAAAATATTAATTTTATTTTTTAAAATATATTATTTTTTAAATAAAAAAATTATATATATGTAAAATGGTAGGGGAGCAAGTGCCCCCACTACCTTGTAAGTAAATCCGTCCCTGATCTTATTTATGTACACCAAAGTTGATGTAATATATATTTTAAAAATATAGTAATATTTTTATTACTTTGATGTAGTTATTTAATTTGGATACAATAACAAATTAGCAATCAATATAATATAGTTGTAATTATAATTTTACCCACTAAAGTCGGCTTAGTCGGGATTGAAGTAATTTACACAATTTTAGATTCTAGTTCCGATAATTATCCATAAGAAAAAAAATTATAAGTCAAAATATCAGTAAATTTAAACATCTTGTATAAAGTTATTAGTAGTGTAGCACATGTATGAGTTACACATGTAAATTGATTTCTCGTTATTAAAAAAAACTAATTTTATAATCAATAATATAAGTATATTTTATCTTCTAAAATGTATCTATTCATTAAGAAGTCAAATATTTTTTGTTTATCTCTTTTTTGTTTTTCAAAAATTTTAGTTCTGTTATCATGACTAGTTCGTATTCAACAACTGTTTATCTCCCTTGACTGAAAGCATAAAATAAGAACTATTGTTTCTTGAAGCATTTATCTATTATTTAGTAAATGAAGTTGACAATGAATGGCGAGCAACATTACTTCGACTCATATTCTAAGGAAAGCATTAAGCATCCCTCTCTCACCTATTTAAATTTCAAATTAAATAGCGAATGAATTTCTTCAATAATTCCAATAGCAAGTGACTTGGAATATCAACATAACATTTTGAAAACAATATTTGCAAAATATACTCTGTAGAAAATGACAACTACAATAAAACTCAAAATGACCCTATAACAACGCAGGAGTCGTTGATTATATTATCTTTCACTAAGGCCAACATGTAAAACAATGGACTCCAATTCATTATCTTAACTAACAAAAATAAATGGAATTCAAGTTTTCATTAACCATTACAACAGGAAAAATAGGTAACACTAATGCACAGCATGATGCCTTTTCACTCACTTATAATCATGAGATCCAATTTGTTTAATTATTATTTTCTTTTTAAAAGCATAAAACCAAAGGTAATTTTAGAAAAACTAAAAGAAGGAAAAACTGTTTTTTTTTTTACCAAAATAAAAGTACTGTACAAGTTGATTAAAAGATCCGCGTCTCTATTCTAAGTTTCTTCCTTTAATTTAAGTAATTTTCAAGCCAAAACATTAATAAAATTAAGACATACATTTAACTTCGGTACCATCCAATTCCAAGTTATAGAACTTAATGCATTTAACTTTGTTACCATCCAATTCCAAGGTATAGAACTTAAGTCCCAGAGTATGAGATTTTAATATAGAATTTTGGCCTTCCATTTTGAGTCTTTACGGATCAGAAAAATAATATAAAATTTATAAGGCCTTTGGACTCTCCAGCTTCAATTGACTAGCTTTTGTGGTGGGGTTCTCTCATGGTCTTATCAAACTTCATTTAAGATAAAAATAAGTAGGGTCATCAGTAGGGATGACAAATATACCCGTACCCGCGGGTAATACCCGAACCCGTCCCGACTTTGACGGGGAATA